ATCTGTTAAATGATGCATGTATATGGCAGATTTTGCCTTATTTACTAATTGCCCAGAAGCTGCCTCATATGCATGCAAAATTTCCATAACAAGCCTCAAGGAAGTATCATCAGAGGAGCAGAAAATTATAGTGTCATCAGCATAGGATAGGTGATTTATTTTTGGGCTCCACTTTGGTAATCCAAATCCACAGAAGTATAAATTAGAGTGTAGAGAATTCAGACCTCTTGATAGTGCTTCAGCAGCTAGAATGAACAATGTAGGTGACAAAGGATCACCTTGTTTAACTCCCCTTGTAGAATTGAAAAAACCTTTTGGTTGACCATTAATAAGGATAGAATACTAATTGTTTCTAACTAAATCAAAGATCAAACCAATAAAAGCTTCAGAGAAACCCAGTTGCCTCAGCATTTTGGTCAAGAAAAGCCATGATAATCTATCATATGCTTTTGCCATGTCAAGCTTAATGACCACATTTGGACCTGCCTTAGTTCTAAGCCTTATATCAGTGATGATTTCTTGAGTTAGAAGAACATTCTCTATTATACTTCTAAACCTGCTCTTCATGAAATTGTGCCTTGTAAAAATTCACAGCCTCGTCAGCCATGGCTTCATTGTCTTCTAGCCAATTCCCATCATTGTTTTGTATTCTCTTAAGCTGAAACATTTTCCTTCTGCCATTAACATGCGCATGGAAAAACTTAGTGTTCCTATCTCCATCTTGAAACCATAACATTCCTGCCTTCTGTTTCCAAAACTCCTCCTCCAAAGCAAGATATCTTATCAATTCTGCTTGTATTTTTTGAAGCCTAGCTCTGTTCTCTTGCGTAGGATGCTGTTCAAACTGAGCTTCATGAACTAAAACCACCTCCTCCAAGCTTGCAATTTTTTGGAATATGTCACCATAAGTAGCTTTTCTCCATAATGATAGAGCTCTCTTCACTTTCTTCAATTTGTGATTAAACATAATGAAAGGATTCCCAGCAAAATCAGCACACCAATTCTCTCTAATAACCTCCTTAAAAGTTGTATGTTTTGCCCAAAAGTTTAAGAATCTGAATGCTTTCTTAATTGGTATTGCTGTAGGGTTACAAGTCAGCAACATTGGGCTATGATCAGACCCTATTTTAGATAAGTGAGACACCTCCAATCCAGGTATTAGCTGCTGAAATTCTATGTTGGCTAAGCATCGATCTAACCTTTTAAAAATGCAATCGTCTTCTGCTCTCCCGTTCCACCAAGTAAATATACTCCCTTTGAATCCTAAATCAGTGAGGTTACAAGTGTTTACGCAATGTCGAAAATCATTGACCTCATTCATTGAAACTGGCAAACTACCAAACTTCTCCTCTTCATCCCATATTACATTGAAATCACCCCCCACAAGCCAGGGATGTGACATATCCCTAGCTAAATAATACATGCTGTCCCATAATTCAATACGTTCAATGGAATCACATTTAGCATAAACAAACGTAACAATGAATGAGACCTGAGTGTCCATATTTATTAGCTTTAAAGTCATCTGCTGCTCCATGTTTATCATCACATTTACCCCATGATCATCATCCACAAACACCCATATCTTGTTTGAAATATTGGCAAAAGCTTGCAACATACCTATT